ACCCATGCCAGGGATGGCCGAGAGTGGTGATGACCCTCCACCCATACCAGGGATGGCCGAGAGTGGTGATGACCCTCCACCCATGCCAGGGATGGCCGAGAGTGGTGATGACCCTCCACCCATGCCAGGGATGGCCGAAAGGGGCGAACTTCCTCCACCACCACCAAAGAATGGTATGCTAGACAGGGGTGAACTACTACCTCTGCCACTACCACCACCACCCAGGAATGGTATGCTAGACAGGGGTGAACTGCCTCCACCTTTATCACCGCCTCCTCCACCACCGCCAAGGAATGGTATGCTTGATAAGGGTGAACCCCCTCCACCACCACCAAATGCCTTGTCCCAAATGGGAAGATTGTGTGCTAAATCAGTGATGGGTTTTGCGAGTTTCGAATCAAAAAAGGGTACATAAGCTGCCGGATCGGTAATCGGTAGCATGAATGGTAGAGCGGCCCATTGACCAGGGTCCATTGATATGAGTTTTTTAAGATAAATTTCAGGCGAAATAAATTTAACAGGTGATTTCATCAATATCTTGGACAAGGCCAAAATGTATGTTTTAAATTGCCCAGGTGGATAGGACTCCTTCAATGGCTCGCACTGCGGGGCTTCGCGAATTTTGTACATCTCTTCCATTCTTTCATATTGACCTGTGAAAAAAAGTTGCCTCTCCCTGGCGTAGTCCCTGAAACCATCTTCGTCGGGATGCAGTTCAGTTACATCACGAAAATATCTACGAGCAACGCTATACATAATAATATATTTAATTACAAGGTGCAATTAATTGTTAAAATATTTATTAACACATAGAATAAAAGCACAAACATTTAAATCATAACTATAAAGTTTGTAAGTTTTAAGTTTGTAACAAATAAATTATAACTTATAACGTTGTCATACCATATAATTTGGCTCAAGTCCTCCGCCTGCACTCTATTCTCGTTAAACATTTCGGTTAAGTAACCGATGAAACGGTCGCGTAATTGTTTGGATTCGGCCAGTTTGCTGTTGGTAATCTGAGCGTATTTAATTTGGTGGTATTGAGACCGTTTGCAATAAGTGCTAAAGTGGTCGCCCACCGCCAAAAACAGTAGATCGGGCATAATTACTGCGCGCACTATTGCCGTCAGACGTAATTGAATGTATGGCCAACAGAGGCCTACAAAATCCTTCCAACTGTAAAGAAAATCATTTTTAAATAGCTGTAAATCACGATATTATAGATTATTTTTTGTGTTATATTATATAACCTATATAAAAATTAAGGTAAGCTAATAATAGGGTACTTTCAAAATGGTCCTTCCTGTTCCGGTAAGGGTTGGTATGTTTATGTAGAGTGTGGCCACGAATAAGATATTCAGCCTAATGGCCTAATTGAGCTAATGGCCACAAAGACACTCGTGTGAACCAAATTTATAAACAGCTATACAATGCTTAATCCATAGTATGCTTTGGTGGATGACAAGAAATATAGTTATAACTCGGGTGTTTGTGGCCATTGGCGCAATCTGATGGCTGAATATCTATTTAGTGGCTACACTCTACACATACAACCAACCTGTATCAGAACGAAAAATACCCTTTTGATAGTATTCATTTTAATTACATTTATCTAGAATTTAAATTGTTAAATTAAAAAAAAATTGACAAACTGTAACAAATTGTTCAAGAGCTATTTAATACACCCATCATTTAACTTCAAATGTGATTTTATATTTGATTATATTATTAGTTAATTAAATATACATCTGTATAGTATTAATTGCTAAATTATATCACTAAATCAATTACATTAAAAATATATTCTCTCTCTCTCTCTCTTGATTGATGTATATTTACCATATTCATATATTAACCATATTTCACAATACGAAACTACTACTCCTTTTTGGGCTATTTCTTACAATTAAACTACCATCTAAAAATTAAACAATAAAATTTGATAAATAGACAAAGTCAAAATACAATTATATGAATCTTTATAAATCCATTGTATTGAGTCAATAGTTATACCCAGTAAATGTCAACATCTACTTTAAATTAAAATTAATAGCATAAAAAGCAATTAAAATTTAATTAATTTCAAAACAGATGCTTTATGTTTGCCATAATATAATTAAATGAAATGTAACGCCATTTTGTATATGAAGTAAACTATAAAATAACTTACATTCTGGTCGGTATAGTCGCTCTGCCCTGAATGACACATTCAATCATGATTTCGGCCATGTTTTCCGATTGTTGGATACCATTGCCCAGGAATTCGTACTTCAATACTGTGTTTTCAAATATCTCGTCCGTTATGTCGTGATTAGTATTACAATATACGGCGCCTAATAGTCATGTAATAAACAAATATCATTATCTATTATATACAGAAAGTCTACTTTTATTATTTTTACCTAGACATTATATATGCACAATTAGATAGCATAAACAGTTATTTACTCACCAATTATGGCCAACAAAATATACACTTTCATTATTAAAATGTAATTATTATGATGTAATACCTACACCTTTCGCACTTCAAACTCTTATGCCAACTAAACAGTAAAAATTCAATTATAAAAACTTATAAGTTTTTCGCGTTACAGTATTTAATGAGTTGTGTGATGTAGATAAACAGGAAAGCCTAAATATTGCTCAAAATTCACTCACAAGTCAGAATTTATTAAAATTAAATTGAACTACACTCTCTAAACAATATGTGAATATCTTTCATACATCCAGAAGATCACGGGTTTAGTTAGGGTTGCCAACTGGTCAAGGTTTGCCTTGATTTTCAAGGTGAGAGGGTTCTGGGCAAGGTGAAAGGCGAGGGTCTCACCTTGACATAGACAAGTCAAGGTGAGAGCAAATATAATTACCGTATGTTTATTTTAGGTATTTATTTTAATGAACACACTATTTAAAACCCAGAATAATATTTATTGCCTATTTGTATAATAGCAAAACAAATCCTTTATTAAACCCTTCATAAGAAAGTCTTCAAATAGCCCGTATCTTATATGGAAAATACACTTATTATAATAAAACTAAGTTAAATTAAAACTTAAATTTACATTTTGTTCATATTTTAAAAATATTTATAATCAAATATGCAATAATAATGGTGGTCAAGGTTTGGTCAAGGTGAATTTAGAAAATTTTTGTATTTTTCAAGGCGGTAGTCGATCAGAGTTGGCAACACTAGGTTTAGTCCCTGTGACCACATTTTCTGGGTGAAAATTTAAAATAATTTTTTTATTTGAAAATTTAGGTTTCAGGATTTGGTGCATACAAATGCTTATGTGACATATAGTTATTTCATTCATGGTTCATACAAATTATTACTTACTGTATATCTAATTTTTTACATCGTTTAGCAAATATGTTATTTGTCATTTCATTTCACAATATAAATTGTAATTTAAAACTACAAATAAGTTTTATAATGCGGTCACTACTTGTTAGCCAATAAACATTCAGTGATACTGATAGTCACTGCAATTGCGACAGCAATTGATATATTACTTGATTTGATTATTATATGAATCAAATCTGCGCCAATTATTCTACAAAATATGCATAGCTGTATGCATAATAATTAAGTGCACAAAAATACAAATTCTAAATAATGTTTTTTAAATAAAAATAATAATTATCATAACTATTTGTTGTGAGTTTATATTACATTAATTAACATTAATGTACATTAGGTATTAAAGTGCAGTAAAATTCAATAAGCAAGTTATACAAATTCTCGAGAATCCATACGAGAGTACATGTGATGACATTTGGAGTGAATTTTTTAACTAATAGTTTTAAACTCAATGAACATAAATAGCATATAATTAGTTGTTTTACACAAAAGTAACAAATCTTACCGACACTCTGTACATTATACAAAATTATATTATGATTTTATTTTTTTAAATCATATTTTTGAACAAGTTTTATTTTTAAAAACATATAGTTAGTTAGGCAACTAATTCTTATAATGGTACTTTGGATAAAATCTCAGAAATTGGTATTTTGGACGACAGACCAGAGAGCGATAAATTGGATGACAACTCAGAAAGTGGCGGCTCTTTAGACATGAGTCCAGTGATCTGTGTTTTGGACAACACAAGTGTTGCCAATCCCTTTTTGGCATACCACTCAGGTGCAATATATGAATTGTTGTATTTCATCAATACCTTTTCCAACGCCATTGAATACGATTTGAATTTACTTTTAGGGTACGACTCTTTGACTCTCTCGCATTTGATGGCAGCCTTAACATTGTATATATCCTTTAATCTTGTATACATGTCTGAATAGGTATCTATCCTTTTGCAAGCATATTCCCTGAAACCATGTTGGTCATCGTGCATGTTAATTACTTGCTTATAAAAGTAACGAGCGACGCTATACATATTAAAAATGTAATTGTAATTAATTTATAGATATTAAATTAACACTAAACAAAATTTACAAAACAATTCTATACCTTAACTATATTAACGGTTACTTCTTGACCTTAAACAGGCAAAATTTACACTGACATTGTGAGTGTAAATGTCAATTAAAAAATGACTTATATATAAACTTTAATGCATTTTTTATTGCTACCCATTGTAGTTCTAGACAATACTAGATTTTGTTTTTGTACAGTTATTATATCAATAATAAGGCAATCTTACCATAATATTTGGGCCAAGTCAATTTTGTTTTTGGTATAGGCCTCGGTAAGGTAACTAACAAAACGATCTCGAAGTTTTTGTGACTCGATCAATTTTTTATTAGTAATCATGGCAAATGTCAACTGTTTCACTTCAGTCAGTTGGCAATAAATGTTCAATTTATAGTAGAATAATATCATTGGTATATTATAATGATCTGTATTTGTATTACTATAATATCAATGTATTTTATGTCTATTAAAATAATAAAATAAAGTTTTATAATGAATAAATTAAAGTTTTTTATAAAATATATTCATTTAAAAAAAATTGCAGGGAAATTACAGGGAACAGGGCAGGAAAATGAAAATTGGAAAAAGTTTTATGTCTACTCTGTACATTGTACAAAATTATATTAAAATTTTGTTAATTTTTTGTATCATATTTTTGAACAAGTTTTTATTTTTAAAAACATATGATTAGTTAGCCAATTAGTCCGGAGAATGGTACTTTGGATGAAATCTTAGAAATTTTGGACGACAGGCCAGAGAGCGATAAATTGGATGACAAGTCAGAAAACGGCATTTTAGACACGATTCCAGTGATTTGTGTTTTGGACAACTCTAGTGTTGACAATCCTTTTTTGGCATACCATTGAGGTGGAATATATGAATTGTTATACTTCATTAATACTTTTGCTAACGCCATTGAATATGATTTAAATTGACTTTTGGGGTAGGACTCTTTGAGTACATCGCATTTGATGGAAGCCTTAACGTTGTATATATCCTCTAATCTTGTATACATGTCCGAATATGTCTCTAGCCTTTTCCAAGCGTAATTCCTGAAACCATGTTGGTCATCGTGCATGTTAATTACTTTATTAAAAAAGTAACGAGCCACGCTATACATATTAAAAATGTACTTGCAATTAATTTACATTGACATATTGCAAACTGTGAGTTCTAAAGATAATATTAGATGATCTAAAGTATTGATATTTGTATTTTTTAAATATTTGTTTTACTTTTGTAAAGTTATCATATCATACAATAAGGTAGTAATACCATAATATTTGGGGTAAATTAATTTTGTTTTTTGTATACGCTTCGTTCAGGTAACCAACGAAACGGTCTCGAAGTTTTTTAGACTCTTTCAATTTTGTATTGGTAATGTTGGCAAATGTCAACTGTTTCATTTCAGTCAGTTGGCAAAAAAGGTTCAATTTATCATAGAATAACATCGTTGGACTTTCCATAATCACATAGCGCACTTTCACATTCATGTACAACACACAATATTGTAATGTAATTAGAAGATCTTTGTAACTGTAAATAAGTGTAAATAAATAAATAAGTCATTTAAAATAACAAAAAAATAGTGCATGTGTTTTGTTTTTAACTAAAAGGCACTTACAACAAATTAAATTATTTGTTAGGAAGAAAGTATGAGAATATCCCTTAGCTGATCTAGTTATGATTGATATATCATGCTTAATATTGTATTAAGATTTATAAACAAAATAATTAACAAAATAATGGTTAGAAACATTGATGTTATAGCAATATTTATAACAACTTGCAAAAGTTTAATTAGCACGGCCATAAACTTAGTATTGCCCATAGACCTAACATTAATCCATAGACTTGGGAACCCCATGTTAAAGTATAGTCATATGACTCACAAACATAAGTTGTAATCCCTTGTTAAATCCCATAGGGTGGGGGTCGGGGAGATGTAGCCTAACAATCGTATAAAACACATTTTTAATAGCTGAATTGTGGTTAATTAAACTGTTTATCATAAAAATTACATAAGTTATTTAAGTTATCCTAAAATCAATAAATATTCACATAAGCAAATTAACAAATAATTGCAAAAATAAACATTTTCATTTCATAATTATTAAAACTAATTTAATATTAAATAATATACTTACAATTTATTATTTAAATTTAGTAAGTTGCCTTGAATTCTGCATTCCTTTTTAATTGTGTCCAATTTTTCGGGACATTTGATTCCATTACCAAATTTCTCGTAATGAAAAACTGAATTATCCGCCAATACCTCAAAATTGTCAGTCTTTTTTTGTAAACAATATATTGTACCTTAAAGTTATATAATAAACAATACCTAGTATTTCCTTCATTAAGCATGCACAATAATTGTTGTTAAACAATTATTTATAATTATTAAACATTTATTTATTTTTACAATTATTGCCTTACAATTTTACAATTGTTACTTACCAATTAGCGTCAACAGAACACATACTTTCATTTTTATTATTTATAAATAATTATCAACTAAAATGCTATTATAACTTCAGTAAATTAAATTATTAATAAAACTATAGTAAAGTAAATTATTATAAAGTTATTAATAATAACCTATTTTAGTGTATTATTTATTAGCAATAAGCAAATAATGTATTTTAAATAAACTTTTTAATTAATTTCTATAATTATTTAGGTCTCGCAATTTTAAGCTTAACCATATTGATCTTCTACCATATTGCTGCAGTTATTTTAATTAAAAATTATATCAACATGAAAATCATAATCAAACAAAATAAAAACAAATTATTTGATAATAAATAATTTGAGTGTGACATTGTATCTAAAATATAAAATAAAGTTTATATAAGTATAAATATATTCTTATTACGAGAAAAATAAGTATGTGTGTAATAAATATGTTTTAAATGAGTAAAGTCAATCCTCGTTGTATGAATGGGTAGTATATTGTGTATGAGTGCGCAACATACAACTTTTAATCAAATTATGTAAATTTATTTTCATTGTATTTATTCATTTGCAAAATATTATCGCCTAGATACTGTCCATAATGCATTTTGAATACTATATAAAAACTTTCAAGATATTGCCGAGATATCATCGATCGGAACGTTGCATGTTATAGCGCATTATTTTTCATAAATAATTGTTATGTAATAATTTAACATTAAAATTAATTTATAGCACATAACGTCAATTATCATTTTTTATTTGTGTATTTTATTAATTATTTTATAATCATATTTTATTTACTTCCTTGATAAATATAATAAAATATTTATGATCTTAAGATATTGTTCTATAATATTATTAAAAGACGTTTTCTACAAATATATTATATATAAGCTGGTATTAAATTTAATTATTTTTATCTCTGTGTGAACATTCTTAAATAAACCATTTTACCCTCAATATACTTGAAGTTTATACAGTAAAAATGATGTAAACACTATCAGGGACAATTAGTAAACTATTTGTATTATTTGTAAAAGTTGGGTAAAAATGTCAGTCAATGATATAGTAATTAGTGGAATGAGCGGTCGGTTCCCCCTCTCGGACAACACCGACGAGTTTGCGGACAATCTCTTCAATGGAATTGATATGATTACCAAAGACAACACCCGATGGCCTATAGGTATATACAGCATCTCTCTCTCTCTCTCTCTCTCTCTCTCTCTCTCTCTCTCTCTCTCTC